TTGTTGGGTCCCTGCTGGAGGAGCAGTGGCCCGACTGTGCCTTGAATCATGGTTTATGGCAACCCCGGGCTAAGACCCCACTCCTCGGCTCTGTCTCTGCAGCTGGCTTCCCCGCTCTGATACCTGGGAGCTCTGCTGCACTCAGGCACCCCCGGTCTTTCTGTGACCCCAAGGGTCCTGGGACCACACTGTCCCAGCGAGGGTTCTACCCCCACTTAGCCACTGGAGCAATGTCCCTCAGTGGAGCCGACTTCTAAAAGTTCTGATTTTGTGCTCCGCTGCTCTATCACTTGCTGGTAGCGGCTGACGGAGGCCCCTCCCCTGCCATCTATCTTCCTGAATATTGCCTCAGATTCACTTCTCTGCATGTCCTACCTTCCAGAAAGTGGTTGCTTTTCTGTTCAGAGAGTTGCTGTTATTCTTTTCTTCAATCTCCTGTTGAGTTCGTAGGTGTTCAGAATGTTTTGATCCCTATCTAGCTGAATTCCTGAGAACACATGAAATTTAGGTCTCCTACTCCTCCACCATCTTGCTCCTCCCCAGTTATTTAATTTTTTTAACAAAATTTTCCTGATCTTAGAAATAAAATTGTGAACATTCACTGATAGTATTTTTAGCTGACTCTATTCTTTCCATTATAATCCTTGATTTGTAACCATATGTACTCTGACTCCAATCACCTACCTGTCATGTATGGAAGGCCAGGTAAGGCACAGATTGTCGGCAATCATGATGACTTCAGATTTTGGTAAAAGAGTATAAGTCTTAGAGGATTGAGAGTGGAGGAATTCCATGACAGGATTCACATTTTCACATGATAATTACGGCTAATTTCCTGAAGGCAGAATATGAGGAGACAGTGTTTGTGCAAAGACAAAGTATAGAAAGCTATTTCAGACCACCTAGGGTGTGCAGCAAGTTCAGGAGAACATGGAGGTGGTGAGAAGTTGTCTGTGTCTGGGTGTATTTTGAGGTTCAGCTTAAGGATTGCTGACAAGTTGGATATGAGTTGTGAAAGAAAGGAGAAGTCAGGCATAGTCCTGAAGGCTTTTACTTGAGCAACTAGAACAATGGTGACATCATTAATGAAGGTTGACTGTCTCTATAGAAATATATATATGCATATGTAGATATGTATATATGTATATGTGTATATGTGTGTATACACACACATATGTATAGGTAGAAGGTGAGATGGGCAGTAGAGTGGCCTCCAAGATGGTCTCAGGTCCCAATCCCCGGGACTGTAAATATGATGAGATCACACAGTGATGAATATGTTTTGTTACATGACAAGAGAGACATTAGAGTAATGAAGGTTACTGCAGTTGACCCTAAAATAGGGAGATTCTCCTGGATTATCCAGCTGAGCCCAATGTGATCATTTGAGGCCCTAAGAGCAAAAGAAGGCAGAGGTGGAAAGCAGAAATATGTGACACATAAATGGTTCAATTTACCTTTGTAGATTTGACAGTGAAGGGGACCACTTGAGCAGGAAGTGAATTTTTCGAAAACCTGAATGATCTTGGAAGCAGATTCTTCCCCAGGGTCTCCAGAAAGGAAAATTATTCTTTCTGTCTTGGTGTTTGCCTTGTAAGATTCTAAGCAGAGAATTCAGTTGAGCCAAGTAGTGCACTAAATTCTGATCCAGGGAAATTGTGAGATGCATATTGTTTTAAGATGTTAACTTTGTGGTAATTTGTGACAGCAGCAATGGAAAACCATCACAGAAGGAAACTCAGAAGCAAATATTCCAAACAACCCTTAGCAAAGTGTCCTTCTGGGCTGTGCCATTTTCTCCAGGCAGTTTTACTTCCTTCTCTCAGGCTCTGTTTGCCTCCCACTTGCTGCCTACATATCTGAGGAACCTGAGAAAAACGGTTGTTCTGTTCTGACCACAAGTAAGTCATTTTCAAGTAGCTGTGGCCAAACCTTTGTGTATTTGGTTCATTCAATTGGCTGGCAACCTGTCCATCAGCCCCTTTGCCTGAGCTGACAACTTCACTGTGCCTTTCTTGTGTTCCTCCAGTTCTCCCTTCATGGCAGGTGACAGTCCCATTTCTGCTCTGTCTCAGAGTGTGATCCTCAATGTGAACCATTTCAGCCTTGCTTTAGGATTCTGTTGATCCTTTTGGAACATTCTGTCAACACCTACAGTTAAATCTTTCACCTTAATGCCTGTTCAGTACCAGGGTGTGGGGTTATACAGTGATCTCCTTGATCCCCTGAAGTGAAGCTGCCTGGCCATGCCTTCTCTAATTAGAAGTCCTGCCTTGATGGAATTCAGGCATATTCACTGACTAGGATGTAAAAGATCTCTTGGACTCTTATCTTTTGATGATGGAATTCTTCCTATAGCATTTTGAAATGTGGCCATCCAGGCTTTCCCTGAAAAGTTCCAATGTGGCATGACAGTGAAAACATACTTCACCTTTAGGAGACTTCATTGTGTGGTGTGCACTTTCTATTGTGAGCCTCAATGATCCAGCTCTTGTATAATCCCTTCCCTTTGAGTGCATGGCACACGTGACTTGATTCTAACTAATAAAGAGTGGCAAAGTTCATATGATGTCACTGCCTTGATTACGCTCTGTTCACAGGTTGGAGGGAGAGATTCTCTTGCTGGCTTTGAAGAAGCAAACATTCATGGTATATGGTGCTTATGGAGAGAACAATGTGGCATGGAATTGCTGATTACCTCTAGGACCTGGTGTGGCCTCAGACGACCCTCAGTAAGAAGCTGGGCTCTCAGTCTTACAACCTCAAGGAATGAATTCTGTCAACAACCATGTGATGTTGCAGTAAGATCCAGAGCTCCAGAAAGAAACAAGTCTTGGCTGCCACCTTTCTTGCAACTTTGTGAGACCTTGTGCAGAGGACCCGTGTTGTTAGTACCTGAACTCCTCACCCTGGAATCCGTGAGATAATAAATGTGTATTTTTTTAAAGCCACACCAAATTTGTGGTCATTTGTTATGCAGGAATAGAGAAGTAATATGATTGATTTCAGACTCCTCATGTGTTTAGGCATAAGATCATTTGAGTACATGTGATAAGAGTTTGCCCAGCTTTGGAACATATTTCCCTTTTTGTCTGATATTGAGTATGGTGAATGTTGCCCACTATCACTCTTCTTATCCAACATTGTAGTGAATTGCTAAGCTAGTTCAAGAAAGCAGGAAAAAAGAAAGAAGGGGGTAGAAGGTTTGGAAAGGAAGATTAAAATTAATATATTTTATATAGAACACATGCCATACATAGAAAACTGAAGATAATTAATTGGGATTACTAAAACATTTAGCCACACAAGTGGTTATGAAGTCAAATACAAAAGCATTTTTCTTCCTTTTTGGTTTTAACAGAAATAAAGCAATAAAATTAATTTAAAAATGAAAAAATGTTCATCATCATTAGCCATCAGGGAAATTCAAATCAAAACCACATTGAGGTACCACCTTACACAAGTTAGAATGGCAAAAATTGACAAGGCAAGAAACAACAAATGTTGGAGAGGTTGTGGAGAAAGGGGAACCCTCTTACACTGTTGGTGGGAATGCAAATTGGTATAGCCACTTTGGAAAACAGTGTGGAGGTGCCTCAAAAAATTAAAAATAGAGCTACCCTATGACCCAGCAATTGCACTCCTGGGTATTTACCCCAAAGACACAGATGTAGTGGAAAGAAGGGCCTTATGCACCTCAATGTTCATAGCAGCAACGTCCGCAATAGCCAAACTGTGGAAAGAGCCGAGATGCCCTTCAACAGATGAATGGATAAAGAAGATGTGGTCCATATACACAATGGAATATTACTCACCCATAAGAAAGGATGAATACCCAACTTTTACATCAATATGGATGGATCTGGAGGAGATTATGCTAAGTGAAATAAGTCAAACAGAGAAAGTCAATCATCATATGGTTTCACTTATTTGTGGAACATAAGGAATAGCGTGGAGGACATTAGGAGAAGGAAAGGAAAAATGGGGGGGGAATTGGAGGGGGAGATGAACCATGAGAGACTATGGACTCTGAGAAACAAACTGGGGGTTTTAGAGGGGAGGGGGGTGGGGGGATGGGTTAGCCCGGTGATGGGTATTAAATAGGGCATGTACTGCATGAAGCACTGGGTGTTATATGAAAACAATGAATCATGGAACACTACATCAAAAACTAATGATGTATTGTATGGTGACTAACATAACAATAAATATTTTCCATGTAAATTTTCGGTTTACTTTTTAATGGACGAATCCCCACAGTTGCATGTATCCATGGAATTTTTATGTGCTTTGTTCATTGCTGTTTCTCTAAAGTGTAGCAGTCAATAAATATTTGTTGCATGAATTCATTGATTCAATGCCTACATTAATTAGTAAACATTCATTTCATTTTCTATCTTTCTCTTTGACTTTGAATTTTTCCACAAGAAGTGCTTAAATTTGGAGAGATCTTATCAGTGTGGGCTCACTGTGTTTGAGTGTCAGATGAGAGTATCTACATGTACATGAGGAAGGCCATCACTGGAGGAAGGTACAGTCTGACCTGGGTGGATGGTTCAGAGAGCAGGCTGCCATACCCTGATGATTCTGATTTCAGGAAACTTAGGGCCATGCACACTGTAGTCATCCAACTTCTAATGTGCATGAAAGGAGCACTGCAGGTTTGAGTAATCCTGCAAGCCTGGGTATTGGGCTCCTCCAGCTTGTCAGCAGAGCTGGTAATCATGGTGCCACTTTACCCTACAAGGTGAGAGGAAGCCTGGAAGCAAAATTATTTTCTGGAAAATGTTTAATATGGGAAACTCTTGACTTGAAACTTGTGTCAGAATCAAGAGACTGAAGTTGTGACCTTTCCAAAGGGCCTTTGGCTGTGCTGTTGACTCTCTAGTGGTTTCTCCTAGTAAAAACATTTCCTGACATTGACTAGCCTGGACTCTAGTCTGGCAGCTTCTGATTGGTGCCCTCTGCTTATATTATGTCAGGATGTGGACTGCTTGAGTCAGAGTCCCACCTCCTCCTGAGCTCTGACGCTTTCTTCTCTGTGCTCCCTGCTAATCAATTCACCAGTATGAAGGGCTTGGCGTTGCTGGTCCTGGTGGCAGTTTCCACCTTCCTGGTCTTGGGCTGTAAGTAAAGCTTCTTACCTGAAATAAGGTCTGGAGCAAGAGTACATTATGATATAAGCTCTGTGTGGATGTGGGTTTGGAGGGGCTTAGAATGCTAACCTCTGTGTTCTCTACTCCACTACCCTGTTCCATCCCCATTTTGCCTGACCACTCAAGATAGAGTGGACTTTCCCTTTAGGCTTTGACATTTCAGTCAGGTGTTTTCTGTTTTAACCTTGGAATGCAACTTCAGTGTTAGTTCAGGACAATATGTTTAAGAAGGTCATCAGAAGTTGTTTTCAGGAAAGCAAAAATGGAGATGTATCATTTTTTTGTGTGGGATTTTTGTGGGTTCATATGATCTGTGCATCTTTCTGCCTTCAGCATGTTTCAGAAAGCCTAAGGTTCTTCAGTTGTGAAAACCTGCAATATTGTCCATAATCTCTCTTCACTCCACCCCCCCAATACTGGTGTTCAACTTTCACCTATTTTTTCTTTTTCTCTTTCAGAGAGTTCAACAGATGCTTCATCTGATAGCTCTACTGGTAAGGCTGTGCTTACACATCCACTCCTTCCTGTGTTGACTGTTTTCCATCCCAACTTCGTGTCAAACAGCCATGGAGGACAGAGTATAGACACTCCAAAGCAGAAGCCTGGAGAAGCACAGTCTTGTTTCTAAAGTTCATTATGAACATATAGAAAATGTGCTGATTTCTTATATATCATTAGAGAATATAAAGTCTCTGGCATGGATTTATATAAATTGTGAATTATGTAAACTTGGAGAAAATATTTGCCTATGTCTTCTCTTAGTGTTGCAGTCCTTATAGGGAAACCCAAATTCTTTCTGTCCCACAAGGCAGGACTATGAAGAATGAGGCCAAAGGAAAGTGGGTAGCCAGGCCTAAGATGTGACAGAATTGTTGACATTTGCAGAGTTGAATTCAGAATGAGGAACAACCTCCAAGCTTGGGCAGGATAAATTTTGTTTATTGTGGCAGAGTCAAGTGTCTCAGCTGGATCTTTTCCTCCTTGTTTCACTTCCAGCTGGTGGCTTCACTGGTATCGCCACCACTTACGATGAAATCACTGAGGACAGTGACATTGATGAGGACACCACTGAAGCTCCTGATACCAAGACCAGCGCTGCTCCAACTGGCCTTCTAAAGTGTAAATCCACCTGATCTAAGTTCTTTCTTTCTTTTTTGACTTTTTTTCCTTTAAATTTTTATTGTTATGTTAATCACCATACATTACATCATTAGTTTTGGATGTAGTGTTCCATGATTCATTGTTTGTGTATAACACCCAATGCTCCATGCAGAATGTGCCCTCTTTAATACCCATCACCAGGCTAACCCATCCCCCCACCCCCCTCCCCTCTAGAACCCTCAGTTTGTTTTTCAGAGCCCATCATCTCTCATGGTTCATCTTCTAAGTTCTTTCTCTATGGGGCTTGTGGATTCCTGGGTTCTGTATTTGTCCCAGTAGACTATATTTTGGGGGCAAGAGGGAGAAGGCCTGAGGTAGTTCTGTTTTCATCATTCTCTAATTCCTCTTGGTTTTACAAATCAAGTCAACAGATAGATCTCAGAGGAGCCTGAGATTTGCAGCCTCTTGTTCAATAATTTACCTGCATAGTCTTTTTAAAAAAATTTTTATTGTTATGTTAATCACCATATATTATATCATTAGTTTTTGATGTATACCTGCATAGTCTTAAAATGTTAGCATTTTATAGGGAAAATTCATCTTTAGTGGAAATGTCATTAGAAAGACCAAAGTAAGTGTCTCTTTTGGGTCAGGTAACTGTTTATGTGTGTTTTTTCTTTTTTTTTTTAACCAAAAAAGTTGTCGTTTCCTTGAAAGGCTTTTCTAAAATTAGACAACAGCTTTAAGTGAGGCTTCCCCGAGGCAGAGGCTTGTGAGCATTATTCAAGGTATTTCTGGGAATTTGGGCATTCATTGAAGATCAAGAAAGTACAGAGTCCCTAGTCCTGGTTCATCTTTTCTGTCATTCACACTCATGGAACATTGATTACAAAATTTATTGAGTGTGGACACATGCCAGACATTGCAGTATGCAATTCACATATCGATGTAATTTAAATCTCAGAGTCATTCTACTAAGTAAACACTGCAAAGATGAAGAAATGGAAAACTTACAATGAAACACTTCCCTGGAACATGTGGAGAGATTGGATTTGTATTTAAACAGTCAAAGTCTTGAGGAAACGTTTTCAAATATGGCTTATAGTCTTTCAGTGTCGGTGCCATTGCTTGGTACCCTGCTCAAGGAGTGCAGTGGTAGCTTTTGGGAGGGGAAGGAGTATTCATCCCTTTTGAGAAGAAGGCTGGGTTGCTCTGTGTTATGGTAAAGGAAAAACTAATGCATATTGGCCTACTTCCTATCCTCTCAAAACTTCAGCTTCCCTAGGCTCCTGTCCAGGGCTGCCAATTCTGTTTCTTTCTTTCAGGATGAACATGTCATGTTCCTTTGACTCCACAGAATTCAGTGCCATTTGACATATGTTAGTCTCCTTGCAGATTCCCAAGAAAGAAGCCACATTCTTCATTCTTTCTTGAAACTCTCTTGACAATATATTTTATCCTTTTGTGGTCATCCTCAACAAATGAAGAATATAATCAAATATAACTAAGATGGAATTTGCCTGGGCCTTGCATTTGATCCTGCTGGGCTTGGCCACTTGTCCCTTCATTTGACTTAATCCAACTACTTACCAAGTCTACCATCTCTGTCTTATCTCTACTTTTTGGTTTTCCAAAAAATTTTGGAAATTTTGATGTTGTGCAACATCAAAAATCTATATTTTTAAGAGGTTGGAGAGTGCTTGTGCAATGATTCAGTAAATCACAGTGACAGCTACTTTGAATTTTATCTAGTCCCTCCTATGTGACTGAGAATTGGATTTTGTACATTGTCCCCGATTTTTAAACATAAGATACACCTCTTGGACATAGCACTAGAGACTACAGGTTTCTCTCACCTGAATGCACTAATCAATATTTCCTAGGAACCAAAAGTCCATTTTGGATTCCACCAAAATCTACTATTAACTGAGCCATGATTATGCTCTATTCTGTAATGACTTAGGAGGTGAGAAGCAGGAAAACAGCTCAGGCATCTGGGAACTGGCCTGGCATGGCTGGACTTTGGAGGCTGAGCTGTCCTGAGGGCTAGGAAATGGTGTTCTCCCATTACACACATGGAAAGTCATAGAAGACCAAGGGCAGGCAAGGGCACTTAGTGACTGTGATGAAGGGAGGCAAAGAGCAAGATCACTTCCCAGTGTTGTTTCCATGCAGACAAGCAATATCAGTGTTCCAAACCCACAACAGCAGAGAGCCCTTTTTCCTAGTTAATGAGTGATGCTGCTTCATTACCTATCTCAGCTTTGCCTCATTCCAGTCTCTTCTCCTTCTAGAAAAGGTTTGGTAAGATCCCCGATCATAGCATACTTGTGCTTCCTGACAGTGTTCAATCCAAGACAGAGGCCTGCTTCCCTACAACCTCCCCCAAATCACCTAACACAAGTCCCAATCCTGTGTGTTTTCTAACACCCTTGAGCTGGGACATCTCTCTGCAGTTCCCCATGTGTATCCTTCCCCCACTGCAGGGTTGATGAACCCAAGCTCCTGAACTACAATTGGGCTTCTGGTGGGTTTTGAGTGGAGGGCTTCGACACCTGACTGTATAATGGGATTGATATTGTATATGAACAAGTAGTGGTGTGTTGTCCTTTCCACTGTGGATGTCTGCCCATTGTTACTTTAGTATCCATAGAAGACTGGAGGGTAGTTGAAATTGCCAGCTAATATTCCAAGCTGTGTCCCATCTCTGAAATTCATGAGAATTCCTTCACCTGGAGAAATAAAGATATTGCTCAAATTTGCAACACGTTGTCATGTTTTTCAGATCATGCTAGTAAGCAAGAATGTCAGAGATTATTAGGACTATTGGGGTTTTGGCAAAATCATAGTCGTTATGTAGAAATCCTGTTAGCCTCTTCTCACAAAGTGACTTTCATCAGACCCTGAGCCAAAACTGTCAGTGGATTTACTTAGAGTTAGCCCTAGGTAGTCCCTATGAGCCCATAGATGTGACTATATGATAGATGTTTCTGCCATCATGTTGCAATGAAACTGGATTGACAGAAATCAAATAGGAATTAATAGAAATAAAATAAGATTTCTTTGTAAAGTTGTCTTGGGATTTTGGATTTGAACACTATTTGAGGCATATTCTTCTGCCAGTCTATTTAAAAAATAGTTGCTAACAACTCAGTGGTGTTTGATGAAAGAAGCCCTTCCAATGAAGAGCATCAGGCAAAATATGGTTTTGTGTTGTGTTCTGGTTGATGCTAGAGAAACTGTCAAATATGTGATGGGCAGAACAGGAATGTCACTCATAGAGTGGCGATTTATTTTTACGTGCATTGTAGCAGAAGAAGTTCAGGGAAAGTCCCACACAACAGAAGCAAGTTGTGTTGCTACTTGTTGGGTGGAAAATAGAATTGCAAGGACATCCCTGACCTCATTACTGAGTGGGGTGTGACAAGAAGGATGGCTGGATTTCCAGTGGGAGTTCTTGAGTTGAGGCTTATGTTGCTGTGTGGAAGTCTGTTTGCAGCAGGCTCTGTTGATACTGAAACTCTGATGAGAAGGTGAAAGGTTAAGTTGGCCCAGAGAGTGGAGTTGAAAGTTCTTCATTTAGGACCTGACAAAATGTTAGGCTCCTGTCCCTAGTCTGTTGGGCTGCAGCCAAGAGTTGCGTGTATTGTCAGGCAAATGGGCTCCACTAAAGTAAGGGGGGAGAAACAAAACTACTTGTATGATACACTCAGATAAGAAATGTCTTGGGAATTTAGGAGAAGACTTAAAATTATCAGGATTTCAAACAAAAATAAATCTTTGGCTACAAAATGGATTGAAATGCTGACATAGCTTCTTAGCATCTTTGGCTCCTAAGGGAGATGTATGGGGAAGCTCAGTTCAGGCCCCCCCCCCGCTCCTGGCACCCCACCGTGACCTAGAGAAGACACAGTCCCCTTTAACACAATGGAAATGATTTGCACAAGAAAATGCATCCAATATTTACAGGAAAGGGTTT